GAACCATTTTGCTAATAGGCATTTCTGCCTCTTGGTTTCCCCGTCTCCTAATGTCCGGATTAATTGCCCTGAAAATCAACATATAGGTTATGATGTTTCCATTAAAGCTCAATTGAGGCTTGGTGAATATAGACGGTGATATTTCCCTATGGAATCGTCTCGTACAATAAGTTCTCTGTAGGCTTGTTGAACCATTCTGTGAGGCCAGGGGGAAGCAAAAATGAATTCGGTTTCAGACATTAAGTCTTAGTGTGATTTTGAAAGTACCTTTTTTTTGGGGGGGGATCTTTTTCTGTACAGCCAGGCAATAACATACCTTTTAAATTATATTATTAAATTTTTCAATGTATAGTTTTACAACTTCCCATCCTCCAGTAATAACTAAGACTATAGAACTGAAAACAAAGAGGTTACCTAGTGGGTTACAATATACTGTCACAGTTCATTTAAGTCAAGTTGCAGTTTAATGTAGTGAAGAGATTGGCTGAGAATGATTCGATATGGAATGTCTAGCAGTAGACGTTCCTGTTTATGTAACAGGTGAAAGAGTCGCAGTTACTGGAAGAGCTTGTGGGGTTACACTAATGCTCAAATGGATTAGTCTGATTGTTGATAACCCTGGTTTTCTTCCATTGTGAAAGAATTTAAGGTGGTGTCCATAAGGAGATCGCCCATCCAGGCACTGTTGAAACACCGACTTGCTTAGCTTTACCAAGACTACTGGCATCACGTGTCCTTCTACCATGCTCTGGAGCCTAGTTGTATCTGACGGGCCAGTTTGTCTCTTGGTGCAAAGGGAAGGGAATTAGTTTCTTCTAATTCCAGTGGGACACCTGAGCAACTTTGGAACCTCAAAGACTATGAGGAATTTCACATTACCCTTTTTAAACCGTTATTGTACCGTCATGGAATAAACTGGTACAGGGACGGCTGTTTCACACAGCCTTTCCCTTCCGGTAAGGAGCCATCTCTGAAGTGACTTATCATTTCAAACTGCGCTGCTTTCTTTCCCCACCATTTCTCCCCTGCGCGCACGATCTCCCTAAGAGGTGTTTTTTTTAAAAAAACAACAACAACATTATATTGGGAGTGCTATGGCACTGAAGCAGGACTACAAATCAGCACCATAGCGACCCCATTGAGATGCCTGGACTCCATTTGGATACACTGACGTTTGCTACTGCTGTCACCTGGAATCAAGGAACAAACAAGGAACTCCCTGGACACAGAGTTCCAAGGGCGCGGGGGGGGGGGGAACCGGACAGTTTTGAAACCCAGGAAGCTTTCCTTCCTTCCTTAACTCCCACAAACCATGGGCTGTGTGCGTGCCTCAGTCTACACTTCCTCTAAAGCAAACTTTTAAAAAATCGACCACACATCTGTCTCACCATTCCCTTATGCCCTGATCTCCCACTTAAACAAGCTGTACAATCAGGTACTTTGTATGCTGCCTCTCTAGACATGCGTGAAGTGGGAAACGCATCCCCTTTGCGGACCAGTTTCTTTTCTGCCTTTGTGTCTTTTAATGGAAAGGAATGTCCATCAATAGCACTCATCTAGCATTAGTTATTCAATATTGGAATCAAAGAGGCATTGGTTACTTTGAAATTAACGGAGCCTGGGATTTCTGAAAACTGCTGGGTAGCAGGCTATTCTGGTGCTTTTTAATTAACCAAAGCCCAGACTACTACTACTACTACTACTAATAATAATAATAATAATACTTTCCATTTATTATTCGCTTTCCCCAGTGGGCTCAAAGCGATGTACAGTTACTCCATATAGACAAGGGACTAACAATGTTTGTAGGGGATAGGGAAGACAACATATATTCATTTTAATTGCACGCGCCATCACTGCCCGGTGTAGATGTCTTCTGGCTGGCTCCGTCATTTTCCCGCACAGCTGCTTGCTGGCCAGGCTTCAGGACCCGTATGTCAATCGCCACACTGCCACCGCCTGGCCGGAACATCCATTGCAGGTGTTCTTTTCGTAGCCGGGAAGCTGTTTCGCCTTACAAGCCTTGACCAGGACCTGTCCGACCATCAGCTAACGCCCTCCCACAAGGGAGGTTGGCGTGCCCACCCTCTCTAAGGAGTGGTTCCCATTTTATCTACTCGCCGAAGCTTTCGAATCGCTGGGTGGACGATGAGCTGGGGACAACAGGCTGGCTGCTCACGCCAGCGCGGGGCTTGAACTAACACAGTTCAGATGTTAAGACAGTGGGATATGCCCACTGTCCCACCACTCCCCCTAGTAAAGCCCCTCCTCCTTTTTCATGCTGTGCTGGTACGTTTGTCCTTATTGCTCTTTTCAGTTATTTACTCTTTAAACAGACATGATAAATACAACGTCTGCCCCCAAATTACCTTTTAAAATCCATGCTGAGATGCAGTAGCGAACATCAGTGTATCTAAACGGAGTCCAGGCATCTCAGTGGGGTCACTGTGGTACTGCTGTGTAGTCCTGATTCAGCGCCATAGCGCTCCCAATAGAACATTAAAGAAAAGAGGATGATCTGTATAAAGTGCTATGGTTGGTTCTCTGGGCCCTCCCGAGGAGACCCATACCAGAGTGGTGGCAGCCATTAGAGAACCTTTCTAGTCACTGCCTGCGACAGCTCTTTTAAGGCCTATGGATTTGACCAGCCTGCCAAAACTTGTCACTCACAGAAGCCGATCCCACTGCTTGTCCCTCAGACCAGAACAAGCAACTTGGTGGTAGCTGAAGGCATGGATATGGACTGGTGGAGTGCAAAGTGGACTTCGAGTTTTCAGGAAGCAGCAGGGATAGGGAGCCTTTAATAAGAGCAAATGTATACGATTGGGGAAGGAGGGTAATCGTTAAAAAATGAAAGGCAGTTGCTGGCTCACACTTGGCCATGAAAGAGCAGTTCAGTCTGCAGCCATGAAACTGTCAGCCTTTGTCTTTGGGGGCACTTAAAAAAAAAGTAATAATCACCCTTATAACAGGACTGTGAGTGTGCATGTGTGGTTTACGCACATTTAGATTGTTGACCTTTTCCCAGCAAAGTGCTCAACAGTCTGTGCTACATGGGAGCTATGAAAGAGGATGTTGTAAAGAGCTTTATACATGCATTGACCAGAGGCAAAAAGAGAAAAAAAAAATCTCTAGCTGAAAGATTTAATTCTTGCATACACCCAGGCCATGGCTTTGAGCCATTCGTGTCCACTGGGACATCCTGCCAGAGAAGCATTAAGTTTGAACTTCCCAGCACCCGGTCCCCCCCTTTTAAAAAGTTAAATCGCTTCTTTTCCTGCCATCTCTTGGCTGGGAAGTTTAAAAGCAAGAGGTGCAATCTGGTGAGAATTAAGTGTTAATTTGCAGGGAACAAAGTTGAATATTTAAATCTTTGTTGACTTCTGTGGCTTCTTTGAGGGTCCCTTATGGATGGGGAAACAGAATTACAGTGTTTTATGTAAAAGTTGCCTCTTTCTGGTCAAAAGGTGGGTCTATTTAAATACTTTTTAAAAACGCAGAAACACCTTGTTGATTATATGGTTTAATTGAATATAATTGAATGTTTACATATTAATTCTAGATTTGTTTCTTGTGGGCAGCATATTGTTTGTGCAAATAAGGGTTTTCGGGTGATGTCTGACTGGATCCAGTTCTGCTACTCTGGTACTATCATAGGGAATAGTCAGCCGGGGGCCTTGGGCAGACCTAAGAAGGTACAGGGATTTATGCCAGCCAAGTTGCTGCAGCTCTGGTGCTTTGTGTTTGCACCAGCTTGTACCCCCCCCCTCCAAACAGACAAGCAGCTGTGCTTCCGTACCAGCTGAAGCTACCAAATTGTTGTCTTCAGGGCCAGCCTCGGCATACATAAGAATATTAAACAATAGTCTTAAATTTAAAAAGCACTCTTTGTATTTAGCTGATGCACACAGATGTTGCAACAGGGAGCCCAGAAGAATTCTAGAGGGGCTTGTTGTTAGTTTGTTCCAGCAAAATCAGCAAAGAATCTTGTAGCGCTAACGCGTACCTTTTGTCTACGGCATGCATCTGGAGTTGACTTAGCTCACAATAAACCCATTAGCCTTTAAGATGCCACAAGGTTCTCGTTGTTGTTTCATCCCAGAAGAGGCATTCTCTGCTGTGTGTGAGGAAAGGGAGATGCCTCTTCTCGGATGGTATTGGAAGACTGTTGTACAGGTAAGACAGCTCAACAGATATCAGTGAGACAGTCGATGCTGTCACTTAGGTAAGTATCCCCTAGGTCAGTAAGGTTCCTTTGACTTGTATCTGGTAGGGGGGCACCATTTTTAACCAAGGGGTTTTTAATTGGCTATTCTAATTCGACCTTGATAGCCTAGGCTAGCCTGATCTCATCAGCTACGCAGCATCGGCCCTGGCTTGTATTTGGATGAGAGACCTCCAAGGAATACCAAGGTTGTGATGTCACAGCCTTGTCACAAACGCCAGCCCCTCCGGGTCAGACGTTTGGGTTCAAAGAACAGGTTGCAAGGCAAAATTACAAATTACTTAAGGGAATCTAACCCCCCCCCGAGCTTAGGGTAGTCTGCCACCAGGTCTTTTAGTGGTTCCCAACAGTCCTGGAGCAAAAGACTGAGCCTCCAGACTGGCTACGGAACTTAACACACAAGGTCAGCCCTGCAGAGTGGGACTACAGACTGAGCTCAGGAACTAACAGTTCCTTCTAGCAGTGGTCAAGAAGAGTCTAAGAGTCTAAGGCAATGGATTAAGCCTTTGAGGTTCAAAGAACACAAACACCACGACAGAGTAAAATAGAATTGCTTTATTAAGGTGCAAACGTATGTAAAACCAGACTAGACTGGGAAGGCAGTAAAACCTCTACGTTTCTCTTGCCTTGATAATCCTATGGGGTTGCCATAAGTCAGCTGTGATTTGATGGTTAAAAAAAAAAAAGATTGCCCCTCTTTCCGGTAAGACTGCTCCAGAGAGGCTAACGTGTCCACCATTCATCTTTCCACCTCCTCTCCCCTTTCCTTATACAGCTCCGGAAGATGTCTGTGTAAAGCTGGAGCGGCGGGCCTAAAATGTGCCGAATGTCAAGAAGGGTACTCCAAGTTCAACAAAAGCACTTGTGAACCGTGTTGGTGCAATAACCATTCCAAGAGCTGCCATCGTGAGACCGGTAAAGCAGAGGCTGGCGGGGTGGAGGGAATAAGGCAATGGCCGGGTAGGGGAGGGAAGGGAAGGGGGGGTCCCTCTTCTTCCGTGAGTCTTTGTGGATCATTATTTTATTAGTCCGTGTGTGATAAAAGTGTATGCATAAATTGACCACCCCGATCTGGATAGCCCAGGTTAACGCAGTCTCATCAGATCTCGGAAGCTAAGCAGGGTTTGGCCCGGGTCAGTGTTTGGATGGGAGACCTCCAAGGAACACCAGGGTTGTGACACGAAGGCAGGCCACGGCCAGCCGCCTCTGAATGTCTCTTGCCTGGAAAACCCTACGGGGTCGCCGTAAGTCAGCTGTGACTTGATGCCCCCTCCGTTGACCCTTACTTAAAAAGGTAAAGGTTCCCTTGCTCGAAAGCCAGTCGAGTCCGACTCTAGGGTTGCGGTGCTCATCTCCGTTTCAAAGCCGAAGAGCCAGCGCTGTCCGAAGACGTTTGCGTGGTCATGTGGCCGGCATGACTAAACACCAAGGCGCATGGAACGCAAGGAACTAAATACATACAGATTTAAAAATGCTCCGAGCTACGTCGAGAGATCTGTACATTCTTGGCTCAGGCAGGACTTGCTAGCTAGCCTGTCCCAGACCCGCTACTGGTGACTTGCTCCTAAAGCCAGTTAAGTGTCTCACATTTTGTTAAGAACTGTGGCCTGTTTCTGCAGGGAGAGAAGCGCATCCACTCACACTGAAAGCAAGTGTACCTGGCCGGCATGTGTCACTTCTTTCATGGCTGGTGCCATTCGCACACTGTAAAATAAATAGGAGATGTATATATTTATTTGCGTAGGCTTTATTGTTGTTAGGAGCTGCGGTGGCTCAAGTGGTTAAGGCGCTGAACTGCAGGCTGTGGAAGGTCGGTAGTTCAGCAGTTGGAGACCCGAGTGTGCCGCATGACGGACTGAGCTCCCGTCTCTAGTTCCAGCTCCTGCCAAGCTAGCAGTTCGAAAGCAAGAAATTGCAAGTAGATAAATAGGTACCGCTTCGGTGGGAAGGTAACAGCGTTCCGTGCGCCTTGGTGTTTAGTCATGCCGGCCACATGACCACGGAAACGTCTTTGGACAGCGCTGGCTCTTCGGCTTTGAAACGGAGATGAGCACCGCAACCCTAGAGTCGGACTCGACTGGCTTTCGAGCAAGGGAACCTTTACCTTTACCTATTGTTGTTACCCTCCAGTTACAGCTTTCCGAGGCAAGAGACGTTCCGAGGTGGCTTGCCATTGCCTGCCTCGATCTCACAGCCCTGGTTTCCCTTGGTGGTCTCCCATCCATACACTGACCAGGGCCGCCGCCGCTTAGCTGCCGAAATCTGGCAACATCAGGCTTGCATTGGCTATCCGGGTCAGGGCTTCATATGCTTGGTATTGGGGAAATTAATAGATGTGTTTTGGGTGCCCTCTAATGGCTGCCTGGAGCATCAATTGTATATATTTTTTTTAATTGGGGATATGTAACAGGACTCTTGAGAGTCCCTTGGACTGCAAGAAGATCAAATCAGTCAATCCTAAAAGAAATCAACCCCGACTGTTCCCTGGAAGGCCAGATAATGAAACTGAAGCTCAAATACTTTGGCCACCCAATGAGAAGGGAGCCCTCACTGGAGAAGACCCTGATGCTGGGAAAGATTGAAGGTCAAAGAAGACGGGGACGGCAAAGGATGAGATGGTGAGACAGTGTCACAGATGCAACGAACGTGAAGTTGAGCAAACTTCAGAGGACGGCGGAAGACCGGAAGGCCTGGCGTGATCTGGTCCATGGGGTCGCGAAGAGTCGGACTCGACTGTGCGACTGAACCACAACAACAGGAAACTTCTCATTTGGTGGATTCTGCCTTCCAGCATGGTGGTCTTGGATACCTGTGCAATCATTTGAATCTCTGTGTAGAGAGAGCTCATCCTTGTGCATGCGGGTGTGGATATGTAGTTCTAACGAGGTGGCGATTGGAAGTGTAAGGGCCTGTTGGCTTGACATTGCATCATCTCACCAACACCAACACCCCCGGCCCCCAGCACATTCCTCACTGATGAAAATCCCATTAGGAGAATGGATGCATGCCATGACCTGAAGCCACATCGTTGCAGAGGGACCCAGCTTGGTAGCAGAGACCTGGACTCCATCCATGGCCAGTCATTCTGCCGCTTAGCAGAAGCCGGGGGTGGGGGCGGGGGCAGGGAGGAAGAGACACTCTTCATAAGCTAGCCTCCATGGCTGTCATTCAGTTCTCCTTCAACAGGCAACCACTCTGCAGGAGAGGTATGAAGGGAAAACCGGCCCTGCTCCCTGGGTCTGCTTCTACCCATTTGCGTTCGACATTTCCTTTGTTATTTGCCTTGAGTTTTCCTCTTGTAGTGGAGCTGTGGTGGCTCAAGTGGTTAAGATGCTGAACTGCAGGCTGTGGAAGGTCAGTAGTTCAGCAGTTCAAGACCCGGGTGGTGCTGGAGGATGGAGTGAGCTCCCATCTCTAGTTCCAGCTCCTGCCAACCTAGCAGTTCAAAAGCAAGACATTGCAAGTAGATAAATAGGAACCACTTCGGTGGGAAGGTAACAGCGTTCCGTGTGCCTTGGTGTTTAGTCATGCCGGCCACATGACCATGGAAACGTCTTCGGACAGCGCTGGCTCTTCGGCTTTGAAATGGAAATGAGCACCGCAACCAATGTTCCCTCTAAGCTGTGTAGTCTTGTGAGCAAATGTTCTACTTTGTGAGCTGCTGGCATTAAAGTTATGAGTGGGTGATTTGGATACTGCATAAATTAGCTTGCTCTGGAGCCATCCTTCCTGAGCGAAGTCAAAAATCTGTGAGCTGGAGGCTAAAAATATGTGAGCTAGCTCACACTAACTCAGCTTAGAGGGAACACTGACCGCAACCCTAGAGTTGGACTCGACTGGCTTTTGAGCAAGGGAACCTTTACCTTTTACCTTTCCTCTTGTAAAGTAACGAGGCTGGCAAGACTCACTCAAAAAGATAATAATGCTAGGAATAGTTGAAGGCCAGTAGGAAAAGAGGAAGACCGGACATGAGATGGATGGACTCAGTAAAGGAAGCCGCAGCCTTCAGTTTGCAAACCCTGAGAAAGGCTGTTAACAATGGGACATTTTGTTGTTGTTCAGTCGCACAGTCGAGTCCGACTCTTTGCGACCCCATGGACCAGCTCCCGCCAGGCCTTCCGGTCTTCCGCCGTCCTCTGAAGTTTGCTCAATTTCATGTTCGTTGCATCGATGACACTGTCTAACCATCTCATCCTTTGCCGTCCCCGTCTTCTTTGACCTTCAATCTTTCCCAGCATCAGGGTCTTCTCCAGTGAGTGCTCCCTTCTCATTGGGTGGCCAAAGTATGGTATGGGACATTTTGGAGGTCATCAATTCATTGTGATAAGTTGGAAGTGACTCGACACATACAATCAATTTGAGAAGGAAGCTTGCTTTGCATGCAGGAGGTTCCAGGTTCAGTCCCTCACGTAAAATGATTTCAGATAGCAGGGCTGGGAAAGAACCCCCTCAGTGTTGGAGAACAACTGCTAGTCCCATTTGGGAGTTCAGGGACTGATGGGACAGCCAGTGGTCTTCCCCATCACAAAGCTTTATATGATCACCTTCCCCATCAGGAAACATCTGCGGCTGCGCTACGATTTGAAATCAGGAAGGACACTTGTCCTCTCCTCTTGCACACGGGATTGCTCCTCTAACTCCTTTTTCTAACCATGCCAAAAAATATTAAAGGATATTCTTGAACGTGCTGCATATCCAAGGTGCTTCTTTGCAAAGTAGACATGTGGGTATTCACACTGGAAGATGCAAATATAAATACTTGTCACAACCCTACAACAGCCAGTTCATTGACTTGGGGATCCGCCATGTTTATCCTATTTCACCAAGGTCAGAACAGAGCCATGGGTTTCAGGGTGCAATTCAAAGTACTAGTTTTGACCTATAAGTGGCTTGGGGACCATGGTATGAAGATCTGTCTTGTCATGTATGAGCATACCTGTATGTTAAGATGATCAACAGAGGCCCTGCTTCAGGTACCTTTACCTTCAGAAGTTAGGCAGCTGCCTATCAGGGTCAGTGCATTTTATTTACCAAATATTTAGCTGTCTTAACTGATGGATATTCCCCTTAATTCTATTGCTTTAGTGTTTTAGATCATATTTTGCATTGATTCAGAATCTTCAAGAACCTACTTTGGACCTTAACCTAATGAAAATGAATGCATTCGGTGACCCCCCCCCCCCCGGACTCTGGGTTTGGTGAGGGGGAGAGCCATCCCACTCTAATCTAAAACAGAAGTATCTTCATTTCACCAGCTGCTATAAACATCTTTATTTCTGTTTTGTTTTGTAGGCATTTGTCTGGATTGTCAGGGAAACACCAAAGGTGCATATTGTGAAAAATGTAAAGACCAGACCTACCGAAATATCTCACATCACCACGAATGTCTCCGGTGCCCCTGCTCTACAGTGTTTTCCACTGGCAGCTGTCGAATAAGTAAGGGTGTCCTCTTACAATTTACGTTTGACCAAGAAAATCCTGCTAGTGGACAGTTTAAGACACTGAACCTTTGCTCAGCTGAGCTCACAAACGCATTTGATCTTGCTGTTTTGTAAATCAGCTGGCTTTATTGACTCATGTAGAGTATTATGATGGTGAATAGCACAAAGCGACATAGAAAGGATTGGAGGTGTCGAAGATAAATCCATTGGCAGCTTCCAGCAACAATGCCCAAACATGCACCTTTGGGAGTCAGTCCAGAAACTTGAAGTTGTGCAAAATGCGGTGGCCAGGATTTGAATGGGTTTGCTAAAATGAGTATAAAAAAACCACAATGCTTTCTCAACTGCATCAGCTCCTAGTTTGTTTCCAGGTGCAATTCAAAGTGTTTAGGGCCAAAGTGTCTGAGGGACTTGTCTCTCCCCATGTAAACCTGCTCAGAGTCTTTTTGGGGGGAATCTGAAGGTAGGCTATGAAGCCACTAGATGCATAAAATGCAGTCGCTTTGATCGAAGAGCACGTCTCTGACTAGCAGAATCTGTTCTGCTCATGGCTATGTGCACTTTTTGTTCTGTACCTGGGCTCCTTCTTTCTTCTTGTCTTCTGTTTACATTTCTTCTGTTGACTTTCAAAGGTATTTGTTCTCTTGCTTTCATGTTAGCTCTCTATTCTCTCCATTCCACCCCCCCCCCCCGTCCTTATTTTCCATTTGACAGATCTCTCGCGTCCACCTTCCCCTGCATTGCTTTCACTTAGTGTGAGGGAGGTGTCTGTCTTATCTTTTCCCATGTACACTGCTTAGTTCTCATTGTGCTGATTAGACTGGGTCTGGGCTGTACCACTTCAGACCGCAAGAGGGAGCTCTCACAACTGAATGCTCTTTCACACAATTCTCCTTCCCTCCACATAGGAAACTGGATGTCAAGAAAAAAAGGGTTCTGTCCTCACCCTTTCCCAAACATACTAGTTTTTACTTGACTGAGGTAGAGTATTCCATCATGTGAGCCCCCATCTGCAGACTGGAGTGGTGCAGCTCAACTGCAGGCTTGCCACCTCGGTACAAATGAGGCTGCAGTGTTGTGTAGACATTCTAGGAATAATTACTTGCTTGTTCTTTCTTACCCATCCCCCTTATAGTTCCAGCTCATCTTGTGCACACAGCGCACCTCAGCACACTCTTCTCTCTCTTGTTCTTGTCTGTGTTGTATTACCTGCTCTCCTTCCTTTCTATCTGGTGCTACCTGGACTAGCCTAAAGTTTGGTGTAGTGATTAAGTGCGTGGACTCTAATCTGGGAGAACCAGGTTTGATTCCCCACTCCTCCATTTGCAGCTGCTAGATGACCTTGTGCAAGCCATAGTTCCGTCAGAGCTGTTCTTGAAAGAGCAGTTCTGGAAAGAGCTCTCTCAGCCCCACCTACTTCACAGGGTGTCTGTTTTGGGGAGGGGAAGGGAAAGGAGTCTTTATGCCGTTCTGAGACTCCCAGTAAAGGGCAGGGTATAAATCCAGTCTCCTCCTCCTCCTCCTCCTCCTTCTCCTCCTCCTCCTCTTCTTCTTCTTCTTCTTCTTCTTCTTCTTTCTCTTCTTCTTCTTCTTCTTTTCCTCCTTTTCCGTAGTAGATGCCAGCCTGCTCTGACTCTCCCATCTTTCGCTGCCTGTTTACTTGATGCTTTAGGGAGCTCATCTTCTCTCTCTCGTTTTGTATAGCTCCCTGTCTGGGTATGACACCCCTAAAAATCTGGTACCTCAAATCTGGGCTGGCATTCAGTGTGTGGAAACAAGTATGTTGGTGAATGGCATGCAGTGGCTTTGATAGGGTTGCCAAGTGTGAATTCAGCCGCAGCGGGGGACTGGAGCGCGCGCCGCATCCACATCGCCCGGAAGTGACGTGGGCATGCCGAGGGCAGGGCCACGACCATCTGAGGGAAAACCATAGAGTTTCCCCTCGGATGACCGTGGCCTCGTCCCCAGCGTGCCCGCGTCACTTCCGGGCGACGTGCACGTCGGGGTGGAGTTCCCCTTGGGGCCCGATCCACCGGCGGCGGGGAACGGGTCTCTGGGGCGGGGGTTTCCCCGCCCCCTGGGGGGACTTGGCAAGCCTAGGCTTTGAATACACAAGTTCCAAGGTCCAGTCCCTGGCTTCTCCACTAAAGAGGATCTTGAGCTAACACAGTTGGGAAAGAACTTGGAGAGCCACTGCCGGTCAGAGTAGTATACGCAATACTGGCTAGAGCCTGAATGGGGTGAGACCAGCATATGTGAAGGACGGTCTTCTCCCATGCAGCCCTGCCCCAAACAGCTAAGATGAACTTCAGAGGCCTCCCTCTGTATGCCCTCTCTTTTGGAACCAAGGTAGGTGAACATAGGTGGGAACTCTTCCGTGCTGGTGCTTTTAGAATTCCTTCCCCACAGAAATCTCCCTGGTAACGAGCAGTGTTCCCTCTAAGCTGAGTTAGTGTGAGCCAGCTCATAGTTTTTTAGCCTCCAGCTCACACATTTTTGTCTTGGCTTAGGAAGGATGGCTCCAGAGCAAACAGATTCATGCAGTAGCCAAATTGCTCGCTCACAACTTGAATGCCAGCAGCTCACAAAGTAGAATTTTTGCTCACAGGATTCCACATCTTAGAGGGAACATTGGTACCGAGCCTGCAGTCTTCTTAAGCAGCCAGTGAAGCGATCTTAATTTTCCGAAGCCTTTTGTTGAGTTTTTTGTCTTACCTTGTATTATTACTTTCCCCCCTTTCTCTCCCCTCCCCTCTTTTTATCGTTGGGTTTAAACTAGACAACTGGGCAATTTTATCATTGCTGTTTTCCCCCTACTGTTTTATTATTGGTTTGAATTTGAACACTGCTAGTTTTATTCTTTTCCCCCCTTATTTTTTTCCTGCTTTCATGAATGATCTCCTTGCCGGTTTCATTGGTGTTTATGCAGCTGGTTCTTCTTTTTAGCAGAAATGGTTTTATGTTTCTTTACTGGGTGTTATACGTTGCTTCCCCCTGACCCGGATGGCCCAGCCTAGCTGATCTCGTGAGATCTCGGCTGCTAAGCAGGGTCAGCTCTGGCTAGTTCTTGGACGGGGGATCACCCCGGAAGGCCAGAGTTGCTATGCAGAGCAAGGCCATGGCCAACCACCTCTGAAGGCCTCTTGCCTTGAAAACCCTGCAGGGGCCCCGTTCACGCAGAGCATTTGCTGCGCTGAAGGCACGATTGTCCCATGGATTTTCCGGGCGCGATCACACCGGAACGTCTGGGAGGCATAGCACACCCGAGGCGAACCCCGTGGCATCCCGCCGAAGATGAGCATTAAAAAAGTACCTGGGACGACCTGCTGGCAAATGGTTTGCCACGGCTGCCTGCAGACTCCCTGGGTGTGATTGCGCCGGCGCACGGCTTTCTCCCCTGTCGTCTGACCGCATAATGGCGCATCAGAATGCGACGGCGCAAATAGCCACCCCCCCCCCCCGTGTTTTCCGGCACGTGTGGTCGGGGCCAGGGTTGCCGCAAGTCAGCCGCAACTTGATGGTGCTTTCTACCACACCATAGGCTGCCTCAGCAATCCTTTTGTAAGTGCAAGATTTAAACAAAAAGTGCAAGATTTAAACAAAAAACCATTTTGGGTAAATGAGAAGACAGACCGGTGCTTTGACTCTGTATGCAGCAGCTTCCTGTGTCCAGTTTAGTGACTGAAGAACGGTGGCAGCGTGCCAGATTTTGCTAACGGTTTTGTTTTTCCTCCCTCCAGAGCCTGGTCACCACACGCCAACCTGTGACAAGTGTAAACTTGGCTACACGGGTGACCTCTGCACCCAGTGTGACAGCGGCTACTACAACTCTGACAGCATCTGCATAAAATGTCAGTGTAATGGGAATGTGGACCCAGCCCGGTCCCCACGGGTCTGCAAGCCGGACACGGGAGAATGCATCGGCTGCCTTTACCACACGGCTGGGTTGCATTGCGAAACATGTCGGGACGGTTACGTCAGAAATCCTGAAGGAGGAAACTGCACCAAGAAAGGTAATGTTGTCTCTTGCCATTCGTGTTTGGAATACCCTTGACAAGAGCAAAAGGGAATGTAGAATAAGAGAGATCTGCCCCTGGATTGTTTGGAGTTTCTGTTAAAATCGGTCGGGCAAGGGGACAAAGCAGCCATGCTGAGAGGGTTTAACCTTTCCTCCATGGAGTTTTTATAGCTAATTTGGAACCCTTGCAAGGCTACTGTTAGACCCATAGAGGACAAAAGACAGGCATTAGTATCAAATTTGCCTATTTAGAAGAAGAAGGAGGATTGGATTTATACCCCCCCCTTCCCTCCCCAAAGGTGTCTCAGAGCAGCTTACAAACTCCTTTCCCTTCCCCTCCCCTCCCCTCCCCACAACAGACACCCTGTGAGGTAGGTGGGGCTGAGAGAGCTCTGGCAGAAATGGCTCCTTTTCAAGAACAGCTCTGATCAGAACTACAGCTTGCCGAAGGTCACCCAGCCAGGTGCAAGTGGAGGAGTGGGGAATCAAACCCGGTTCTCCCAGATTAGAGTCCGCGCTCTTAACCACTACACCAAACTGAAGAGAAGAAGAAGAGATTGGATTTATACCCCGCCCTTCACTACCTAAGGGAGTCTCAGAGCAGCTGACAAACTCCTTTCCCTTCCCCTCCCCACAACAGACACCCTGTGAGGTAGGTGGGGCTGAGAGAGCTCTGGCAGAAACGGCTCTTTTTCAAGAACAGCTCTTATCAGAACTACGGCTTGCCCAAGGTCATCCAGCCAGGGGCAAGTGGAGGAGTGGGGGAATCAAACCCGGTTCTCCCAGATTAGAGTCCGCGCACTTAACCACTACACCAAACTGGCTCTACAGTGATGAATCGAAGCTTGGGGGAGCATCAGGTTGGAAAAGCAGTGTGGAACCAGAGGTTATACTCCACCTCTGAGATACATTTCTCCATTTAGTTCAGTAGATCCGGTGGCTCCTTTTAAATAAAAGTAAGGACCTTAAGAGATTTGTCATGGATAGACCATGTAAAGTGTGGCTTGGCCCCTTGATACCCTCTGATTATGGATGCTTGTTCCTCCAGTGCTGATTTAACACCCAGGTGATGCATGCCCTAGGGAAGGTTGGAATTTAGAGGAATCCGCTTTATTGAATAGCAATATTTGCGAACAATTTTTTAGTATGGTGCATACATCATGATATTTAACACGTGGTGCTGACTGCATCCCCCACACAATCTGTTGCTCTGTATAGGCAGGGCTGTAAGTCCTAATTGATCAGTTTGGCCAGCTAAAGCTTTAATCATTGGCTACCATTTGCCTTTTACCAATCAGTTTGTGCGATGACAGCAAGCAAACTCTCTGCAGGCCACACAAATGTCCCCAGGTGGAGGACATCTTCTGATGCAAAAGAAAATCTGTTTCCAAAGCTGGCAGAAGAAGACCAATTTTCCCCAAACTATAATGAATGGCAACTGCAAATGAAATCTGCACGCACAAAAATGGTCACCGTAAGACCACAAAGTCAGGGCAAGTGAGCAAAGGGTGTGGTTTTTACCTAAGGGCCTGTCATTAATGAGGGTTTTTATTAACTAGCAGCAGTACTAGAACAAGCTGATGCCAAAAGTTTGGGAGTATTTGCTATAGGAACTCAAGTCAACAAATTTCACTGTTGAATTCCTATTTGGGGGTTTGCATTTCCTTGCTTCCTGTTGTTGAGGTTGTGACAAAAGCCTGGGAAGAAGCTGATCTCTTAGGTCTGTGGTGTCAAACCCACTTGTCGGTTTTTTGTTTTTTTTTAAACTTGTAGAACCCATTTCTGGTCCTGAAGGCAAAGGACTCCCCCCTCCATCTCCGTCTCCAAACATCAGTGCTCCTACAGCTTTGCCGACGACAGCCGTCAACAGCACGTTCATCCAGACAACGGTGCCGTCTGTTTTCCCCATCAGCTCCTCCGACAATGGCACCTCGACTTTAGCGGATGTCTCATGGACGCAGTTCAACATCATCATTCTGACGGTCATCATTATTTTGGTGGTTTTGCTGATGGGCTTTGTGGGCGCTGTCTACATGTACCGTGAATATCAGAACCGGAAACTGAACGCCCCCTTTTGGACCATTGAGCTCAAGGAAGACAATATCAGCTTCAGCAGCTACCACGACAGCATTCCCAATGCGGACGTCTCGGGCTTGTTGGAGGACGATGGGAATGAGGTGGCACCCAATGGTCAGCTGACGTTAACCACTCCCATGCATAACTACAAAGCATAACGAAAACAGCACTTAAAGGATTTATTTCGAAGCCTCTAAGTGGAAAAAAAGGGGGGGGGGGGGGGGGGGAGTACCACTCAACGATGCCACTGTTCTGGGCAAAGAAAATGGAGGTGCTTTCCCTGCATTGGCATGGCAAAGCTTTGTTAACAGCAAATGAGGGCCGGGCAGCATAGATACTAGAGGAGCTTCAGGTAAAGATTATATTGGGTTCATGATTCCCCATCAGAAAGGCATTATGGACATTAAGTTGTATTTAAAGGGGGGGGTGCTCTGAAATATATTTTTGTATAAAACGACGATGGAGGCATACCAAGACGCCATCTCAGTCTTGATCAATAGCGATGTTCGCTCTGGAACCTAACTTTTAAGCTCCTGTTTTGAGAAGTGGATGGTGACCTGGTGAAATTGGAGATGGATCTTTGATTATTTTTTTTGGAGGGGGGGGGAGAGTACTTTCCTGTCCTGATAATTTAACTTATTTAATCCACAAGAAGAAAAAAGAAGTCACATTTGTTTCTTGGAATGGCTGAAGGCATTCCAATGCATACTCGACACCAGTCCAGGATTTTAGTTCTCCTCTGATACCCAGTGCAGAAAAGAGAGCCATTGTTTATTGAGGAGTGTACGAAGTGCATCAGCCTCTCTTCCTTTTCTTCAACCTCCCCCTCCAGAGGTGATGATGCTGTTTAAAATGGAAGGATCCCCCTTTTTGTTAGCTTTAACGAACTTGGATCGAGTTCAAGGGAGTGAGACGTTGCGGAGGCCGCTCTCTCTCACCAGTCTCCTGTCCCAAGCAGAAGCAGCATGTCTACAGAATGTAACGAGAGATTCCTAGACATCGTATTTGTAACTATTTGTACAAAAATATCACAATTCATATTTTATTCCTTTAGATTTTATCTGTACAGAGGTTTGTGATGTTGTAAAAACACACACAAAAACAAAACCAACAAAAAAGCAAGTATTGTTTAAAAGAGTTGTAAATTTAAATAGCGATATGGCTGGAGCTGGGTCTCCAGCAACAGTTTTGTTGCTAATTGTTCCTCTTCTGATGATACAAATTACTTTTTGTCTTTAAACTGATCATTTCCCTTGCTGGTTTGAATCATGGTTTTCCTCATAGCCCCTCTTCCCCTCAACATGGACGCGTTTTGAGGCACTGGTGCATTTTTGGCAGCCAGGTATGAATACTGGAACATGGGGGCTTACTCAAAAAGGGGGGATATTTCACTGAAGTGCTGGAAGTGGTCTCTGGAGCGTACAGTGGCCCTGCCAAGACAGGATCCGAGTGCTTTCTGCTGTTGACTTTCTGCTAGACAAGTCCCTGGAAATCTATGGTCTGACTGCATGTCTCTTTAAACTTGTATCAAGAGGAGCTGAAGGGGAGAAGCCAGTCAGAGTCCGAAATGTGGCACTGGTCTATGTGCCCAACTTTCCCCCATCCCATTGCCCCACCGGAAATGTTTCCCTGGAAGTTCTGTTAGGGAAATAACCTTCTCATCTCCCACCATTTCCTCCTCCCTGTGCCCCAAGCTACCCTTTAAGTGTGCATGCCTGAATGGGTGGGTGATGGAGGGGGTAATTTGGGTTATTCACTATCTCCAGGGTATGTAAGGAAGGCGTGTGCCAGGTAGCAAAACTGACCCATTCATTCTTTTGGAAGTGTCTACTACTGCCCATGGCTGAGGAAGTACATTGATACCTCTGTTGCTGTGTTCCATTTTAGGCTGCACACAGTTTGACCGAGATCAGGAGCCTGGAGTGTTTCCCCCTCCCACTGGCCAGGGCTGTGCTTACATACCTCTCCAGTCATTTCCCCTTGGGTATTCTTCTAAACTGATGTTGACTTTATGACGAGCTGAACTTCTTGGCACTGAGAGAGTCCATGAACTAGTGAAGGGATTTGCCGTTACACAGCCTTGAAATGACACCTGTCAGAAATACTGAAGAGGTAAAGAGGTTTAGGATGGCACTTTTTCAGAAGGCACCTCCGAGACCAATCAGATTTCCGGAGTGCAGGCTTTTGATAGTCAAAGCTCCCTTCATCAGATACAAGATGGTGTCTGACAAAAAGGACCTTTGATTCTCGAAAGCTTGTATCCCTGAAATCTTGTCGGTTTTTAAGGTGCTACTGGACTTGAATCTAAACTAGACTTGAATAATCTACTCTGGAATTCCAAATTCATAGCTGCAGGCTGGGGGACTATGGAGAACTATGTTCATTGTGTCTTTGCTAATGAAGTTTCTGTTTGGAACTTGAAACACTCTTTGTTCTCAGCGTTTAATACCCGTTGATAGCGGCAAGAAGGGACAGTCCTCATGACGATCCTTTCACATCCACTAGTTCTGTTCCCGTTTTCATAGTTGCACAATTAGTATGGTCTACAGGAGTCTGCGGTGGCTCAAGTGGTTAAGACGCTGAACTGCAGGCTGTGGAAGGTTGGTAGTTCAGCAGTTCAAGATCCAAGTGTGCCGCATGGTGGAGTGAGCTCCCGTCTCTAGTTCCAGCTCCTGCCAACCTAGCAGTTCGAAAGCAAGAAATTGCAAGTAGATGAATAGCCACTTTGGTGGGAAGGTAACAGCGTTCCGTGCACCTTGGTGTTTAGTCATGCCGGCCACATGACCACAGAAACCTCTTCGGACAGCGCTGGCTCTTCGGCTTTGAAATGGAGATGAGCACCGCAACCCTAGAGTCGGATTCGACTGGCTTTCGAGCAAGGGAACCTTTACCTTTTTACAGGAGTCTATGCGATAGCTTTTTACAATTTGGTGCTGCCTTCCCAACCCTTTTATAGTCCTGGGGTGCATTTTTATGGGAGTAAAGGTTGAGTTGAAGCCCATTCATCAACTTGGTCTACTGGCCAGGATTATTACCCAACCCCTGTTTCCAGGACGTGTTGTTAAGGTCCCTTGCAAGGCCTCCTGGAATAAATTAGTGCGGATGAGAACTGCTTTAAGGCCTCAGACAGTTGTCTTTTCGTACCCAAGAGTTGGGTGTTCCTTACTAATCAGATCCTTAGGCAGCATTTTGTGCAAAATGTGCTTGTCGCATAACCTTTAGAATGAAACACATTTGATATAAGGCCTCAGCTTCTATACCCTGTAAATGTTGGCCACTGTGTGAGACAGGATGCTGGACTAGATGGACCCTTGGTCTGATCCAGCAGGGCTCTTCTTAAGCTCAAGAAGAGAGAAACGGCCATAAAAAAAGCACCAAGCCTTTTTTTAACCGGTTTTTTTTAAATTGGTAAATTAAAGGTTTTAGTAACTTACATATTTTGAAAGTCCTTTGCTCAAAGTATCTCAGAGAATCCAGTATGTTATTGATCACCCTGCTTTTGAAGCCCAAGCGAGCCCGATCTCATCAAATCTCGGAAGCTAAGCAGGGTCGACTCTGGCTAATATTTCGATGGGAGACCTCCAAGGAATACCTTGGTCATGATGAGGAGGCAGGCAATGGCCTCTCCTACTCTCTCTTCCCTTGAAAACTCCATGGGGTTGCGATAACTCAAGAAAAAGGAGGCACTTTCTTTGGTGGAACACCTGCTTTGCACATAGAAGGCCCCAGATTCAATCCCTGGCATCTCCAGTTACGAGCACTTCAAGCCTTAGGGAAAAACGGTTCTCTGTCTGAGATCCTGGAAAGCTGCTGCAAAGCTGTGTCCAAAGCAGCTTGTGTGTGTGTGTGTGTGTGTGAGTGAGCCATACCACAACATCAATGTTCCCTCTAAGCTGTGGAGTCTTGTGAGCAAAAATTCTACTTTGTGAGCTACTGGCATTAAAGTTGTGAGCAGGCAATTTGGCTACTGCATAAATTACTTTGCTCTGGAATCATCATTCCTGAGCTAAGACAAAAATGTGTGAGCGAGAGGCTAAAAAACTGTGAGCTAGCTCACACTAACTCAGCTTAGAGGGAACACTGCACAACATGTGTGTTGAAGGACATTATGAAGAATTTTTTTTAAGGGCACAGCTGGACTCAACTCATAACTAAAACTTGTAACCAGATAAGAACTCCATGCCTCCAGAGCCACAAATCAACAAAAACGGGGGCAGCCCCGAAGGACAGCCCCCTGTGTAACCTCCTCCAAGGGAACAAAGAGTATTAATGTTCCAAGTAGCAAGAAGAAGGCACGCACAAGCCCATTACCTACCTGTTGGCACACATCAGTTTAGACACAGGAAATTGAAACATAGATATCCCTGTAGGACAGTCTGTTATCACAAATGCTTCTGGCTCCCAAAGTGGAGTTGGCAGGCCACATCCCAGGAGTCATAACTGGTGTGTCTCCTTAGTATCTGACGATGAAGCTTATGCCCTGGAAAATGTTGTTGGTCTCTAAGGTGCTACTGGGCTTGACACATGTCTCCAGTTCATCAGCAGAGATTGGCAGGGATGGGGGCGGAAGGGAGACAAATTGGTCCTCAAAGGAGCCATAGAGTATTAGCCACGGAGCAGAAGTCCATTTGTTAGTGAAGTCATTGTTTTTAGTCCTGCATGTCAGTGTACTTTGTGGTTTCTAGCACTTTGCTCTCCATTTTTTTTTTTTAAGCAGTCTCCGAAATATTGTTTTTCATTTTTAAAGCTGCCTCATATTTTCCTAATAGTACTTATGTAGCACTTTCAAATATTCACAGCACTTTACAGATCATCTTTAACAGCCCAGTAAGGTAGGCCAGTACTGAAAGAGAAGAAGGGAAGAGATTGGATTTATACCCTGCCCTTCACCACCCGAGGGAGTCTCAGAGCAGCTTACAAACTCCTTTCCCTTCCCCTCCCCACAACAGACACCCTGTGAGGTAGGTGGGGCTGAGAGAGCTCTCTCGAGAACTGCCCTTGAGAGAACAGCTCTGAAAGAACTTGTGACTGACCCAAGGTCACACCAGCACGTCCATGTGGAAGAGTGGAGACTCAAACCTGGTTCTCCCAGATTAGAGTCCGCGCTCTTAACCACTACACCAAAGTAGTTTGGGTTTGAGAGAGCAGTTTAATGGTACCTAGT